CATCACTCTTCTCTCTTAACACAGAGCTCCATGGAGGCAGCTCTGATTTGCAGGAATGCTCTGGCTCCCTGCCCTGGGGCTGAACTCCTCTGGGTGGGGCAGTGGGCTGCTGGGCGCAGGCTCTTGACTCTGGAATGTACTTCCTCATACAGGTGCCAAGGCCCAAACTTGGCAGGTTCTAAATACAATGGCTTTTTAAGCTACCAGGCATTTATTATTCTTGATTGAAAGGTAAATAAAGGGCTTTTTATACTTAGAGCTGCACTACAGGTTAAGGGGAGCAGTCATCTGGTCAGATTGAATTCTTTAACTTTAGAAGAAACAAAAAAATGTCTTCTAAAGTAAAAAGTCATATTCTATAAATTAATTATACAATCTAACCAAAAATAACAATTTCCTTTCTATCACAACTTGTTTTTCATAATATATGTTAAAAGAGAGGTGAAAATATGTCACTGATTCCAAAAATGTAGATCTAAATTTTTATTTTAGAAATAATTATTATTTAGAAATAATACCTGGCCTTATTAGAGTAAAAAAATCATCTATCTTCTTAAACTAGCATTTCTGCCAAATGCAGTACAAGTCATAAAATATTCTTGTTTTAAAAATTGTTAAAAACCAGCTTTCTACCATTTTAATTGTTAATTTTTTTAATAAAAATTTAAGTAACTATGGCAAAATAATTTACTAAGGAGATATTTTTGTTTCCCTTTAGCTTTTTTTTTTGTTTGTTTTTTTAAATGCTAAGGAGAAAACCCAGGACCTCACTTAGCAAGCACTCTATGACTGAGCTATAATTCTAAACCCAGTATAAACCTTCTAATAAATTGTCCCCTTCCTGCCCAGTTATCCATGAATGAGTCACAGGGGCAGGAAGATTGTGCTGTGGAGCAGCCAAGATAGGAGGAAGAGGGACAGGGCAGGCCAGACCTTGAGCCCAGGAAGCTCCCGGCCTCATCAGCAACCCCACCCCTCACTCACTCAGACCAGCCTCGCACAGACTGCCTGTCTTCATGGGGACTGGTGGGACTGGACAAAAAGCACAGCAGTGACCAAGGCTGATGAACACTAGCAGGCCCTCTTCAAATATTCTACTCTGACTTAAAACCCCACCACCATCTCAAGAGTGGGAAATGCCTTAGTCTGGCTTTCCACCAGCCACAGTCAATTGAGGCTCAATGTAGAGCATGTCTGAAATACAGGAACAAGAAAATGTCATTTTAAAAATGGAACAGAATTAATCCCATGCCATCCTTCCCATGTACGTGACAGCAACTGAAACCCTGGATCACTGGCATTTCTAAATGGTCTTTCACACCCAGGATGGTCACACTGTCACAGGGAGGGTCACCAGAACACGTGGCCATATGGAGCCCAGACTTGCAAACTCAGGCTAACAGTAATTTGAAATCAAAGTGAAATGTGACTATAACAAAGTGTTAGTTTTTAATAAAAAGTGTTAGTGTTTAATCCTCTTTTTAGAATAAAAATGATGGATAGTCACCACTGTTTAAAACATACATTATAAATAGTCATGAATGCTTAAGGATTCACTACAAGGATTTTTATACTTCAGTTATATTTATAGTTTTCAAAATTTTGAAATGGCATAAGTACCCAAGAACTAGAGATTGGTTGAGTAAGTTATGTCATAGCTATTATATCTATATAGCAGGATATCAAATAAGCATTAAAATGGTACTATATAAGAATATTCAGAAATACAGAACATATCCATGATATATTAAACAAAAGCAGTTGCGAGTATTATTATACCACTTTTAAAAAGATATACAAACAACTGCAATATAGTAACAGCTTATAATAATGCCAGGAGATACAGTTAGATATGAAAGATTTTTTTCTTCTTTTTGAGAGGGAAGATTCTAAGTTTTCTAAATTTTATAAAAACAAGCATGTATTTTTATATATTTTTGTAATGATAAAAGCATAATACATGTCACATTTTTAAAAGACCCTCCTCCTAATGCTGGGACACTGTCCCCAGAAAAGGACACCTATAGCCTGAGGAGACCTTCTTCTATAGAAGGAATCTGTATTAATAATTTAAACCCAATAGGCAGGCTGCAGGCTCTTTTCATATCCACCATGGCAGAGCAGAATCGGCCTGAGAAGCTGGCTTTGGGTTGGGTCAGGACCAACAACTCAATTCTGTCCCAGGTTGCTCTGTGAAAACTATATTTGTCTGGAGTTACATAACCCATGAGAAAAACAAAAACAAAAAGACCTTGTCCCTAAATCCAGCTTCAAGTGTTTAGACTTCCAAGGAGACCCCCCCCGAAAAAAAAAAAAAGAAAAAAGAGGTGCTCTGAAGGCAGGTATTTCCAGATACTTTCATAGGAGTACCTGAGGGCAAGAAACGGACAACCTACCCAGGTCTATTCAAAGAGCATGAGCCATTCTTGCATTGCAAGTAGAATGAAATGTTTATATGAAGAGGTGAACACTTTTGATACTCTCTCAGTGGGTCTCAGAATAAATTTAGGAAGCAAGCATGGTGTTCAGAAATACAGGATTTAAAAGTCTGGTTGTTAATTATAACTCTAGTACCATTGATCTAAATGGGATTTTAGGTCTATTAAGATAAAAAAATACAAAGCATTAAGATAAAGCATAAGACCAAGCATTAGAAGACTAGAGTTTTTTACCTACGATACCTACTTATTTTGTACTTGCAGGAAAGTTCTTTGGGTGGCCTTGGACTAACACAGTTCTCCTTCTGTTCATGCCTACAGTTCTCAAGAATAACAGTAAAATGTGTTGGGAATACCATATCCTGAGATAGAGAGGAACTGACTGAAGCAGCCCAACCCATATTCCTGTCCTCCCAGGGCATGTAACATCTTGAGTTAGGAAGTTAACTGCCCAGGACAGCCTGGGCCTTGCTTCTCTCTCCCCTGGAACCAGGCATGGTGTCCTTCAAAACTTTAGCTCAGTGACTCACTTGACCCTTTAGGTTTATAAACCAGAGCACCAGAGCAAGCTGCCTTTTGTGGTCCCTTAGGTGGGTGGAAGTGAAGAATGCCGAGTCAAGGCTCTATCTGCTCCAGGCATCTTCATTGCACCTTGGAGAATCAGCTCACTACGAATTCTAGACTTCTTTTGTACCTTGTTACCTAACCATAATTTGTTTGTTCTGTTAGTTTGTACTCAGGTAATATGGTAAGCAGTGTACCCTGAACTTGCTCCACAGTAATCTTGACTAACCTGTCTTGACTAACCTCTCACCATCTGAATGGGAGTAACCATAGTACTGATATACCAAGGTAATCTACCACAAATTTAAATCATGCTTTACTTTTGCCACTGTGAACCATCAGAAAGAATTGTGTCCTCCCAGCCCAATGAAAGGAAGGGTCTACAGTCAGATTAAATTGATTTTAGAAATAAGACAGGTGTCATTCTCACACCCAGGATGGTAGAACAAATTCATACTCTTTCTTCCTAGGCTTGACATGATGATTAAAAGAAGCAATGAATGTCATAAGGCTGTATCAATATTCATACAGTGTTCATTTCCTAAGTATTGCTATTAAAAATTGTATTCATTTTACTTAATATAATAGATAGACCCAGGCATATCCCTATAAAGAGAGCCCCACCTCTGTATAAATGCTGGGACCATGTCTTCCTCATCTGTAAAAGGGGAACATGCTTTTTGCTGTGCCCCACCTCATAGGGTCCTGTAGAGCTCAAAGGAAATGTATATGAAGAGGCTCGGAGAAGTTTAGACATGTGTGATCCCAGCAAGCCACAGCCTAGTTAGCAGCATTACTTTATAGTAGAATTCTGTGAACTTTAAGAACTGGACATATAGATGAAAACTGATGGTATATGTGGTTTTATTAAAGAAATAATCTGCATCAAAAGCATAAAAATCTGAATATCCCAAATGACCAACAGAATAGAAAAATTGACAATCACCAGGATACTCACAGCAAGAAAAATGAATGCACTTTAGGACCCACTACTTATAAAATTGACAAAAAGCACCAAGACACAAAAGAATACATACCATGAGCTGTCCAAACTTGCTCAGGGAAAGGCTACATAAGTAGAAATTATCATAAAATGGAAATAATTATCACAAGTTGGACAGGACTTTCCTCTGACTGAGGAGACAATACAGTGAGAATACGATCAGGGAAATACCCTTGAGGGAATTTTGGAGTTCTAGTTATGTTAACCTGCATGTGTATACTATATATGTATGTATGTATGTATGTATGTATGTATGTGTGTGTATTTCATGCACTTCCTATATTCTGTTTCATAATAGAAGACTCACAGTAACAAAAAACTCAACTGGATTCTACAAAAATTTAGTTATGTCAACATTGCTACTTTTTTAAGACTTTTGCTAGAGATTATTTCAATTCAATCTCATAGCCACCAAGCTAAGAAATTACTCAGTAGAAATTTTATTTAAAATAAAACCCCTTCAAAAAGAAAGTATAATCATTAAGCAGATCATGCTGATTCGAGTGACTATTTATTTATCAATAATTACTGCTTGCTTGGGCATTTCCAAGGTCAAATTTGAAACAGTATTAAAAATAAAGACTGTGAAGCCAGCTACTCAGGAGGTAGACATCAGGAGGACCACAGTTCAAGGCCAACCGAGGGAAAAAGATAGCAAGTCTCCATCTCAACCAATAGCTGTGCGTGGTAGCACAGGCCTGTCATCCCAGCCATGTGGTAAGTGTAAAAAGGAAAACTGTGGTCCAAATTAGCCCCAGCAAAAACATAAGACCCTATCCCCAAAATGACTAAAGCAAAAAGGGTTGGGGGCATGGCTCAAGTGGTAGAGCACCTGCCTAGCAAGCCTGAGGCCCTGAGTTCAAACCCCTGTACTGGGCAAAGGGAAAAAAAACCCAAAACTATAGGGCTATAGTCACATCCTGAGCATGTCTTACGTCCCCAGCCTAAAAGAAAACTCAAGGTCCCACAGATGTCTTACCAGCACCATGACTTACCAGCTGGCTGTGTCTGTGCTACTCTCTTAGGGTAAGTCTTACTTCGACTTCTTGCCACATTCTGATCAGGCCGGGGAAGTTGGACAGAAAGATCTCGGCTCATTTGCAAAGCTGTTCTGCCACTTGAAAATACAACATTTTGATTAGCAAAGGTAAAACCACACAGCCACAAAATTATACAATGACTCATCAGAATATGTGCAAAGAAAAAAAAATACATAGACTCAATGACCGTAAGTATATATAGATTTTTAATTGGTTCTCATTGTGATATTATCCAAGGGAACAGCAATAAATGATAGGAGGGGGATTATGTTAGATAAAAGATCTTCCTGATGGAAAATCAGGGAGACAGGGTTTATTAAAGGAGGAGTTAGATTCACAATTAAGTAGAGTGATGGGCTAGAAATAAAGGATGCTGATGATCTCAGCTCTACAACTAAAGAATAAAGAAATCATGGTGGGCTGAGCTCTACCAGAACAATAATTCCACATGACTATCTCCATGCTGTACTCACATGGTAAGCTGTACAGCATTCCCCATGTGTTTTTATTCTGAACCATACTATGACATGATCAGCTAGTTATTATTCCCACCCCACACAGACTACTGCTTCTCTGGAGATTCCGTGAGGATTCAAGAGCCCAAGCTTTCCCTGAGCTGGTGTTGTGGTTTGGATATGAAGTGTCCTTCAAAAAAGCTTTGTGTTGAAGACAATCCCTAGCTGGTAGCAGGACTGAGAGGTGGCTGATCATAAGGGACTAATCTCATCTATGTATTAATCCACTGATGAGGTTATTGCTGAATGGGTTATTCGGAGGTGGGGCCTAGCTGGAGGAGGTAGGTCATTGGAGTGTGCCTTTGAAGGATACATCTGGTCCCCACCCACTTCTCTCTGTGCTTGTTGGTCTCGGTGAAGTTAGCAGTCTCTCCTACTACTTTAACTGCCACCATGGTATTTTGCCTCACCTCAGGCCCAAAGCCAAGGAGCCAGCTGACTTTGGACTAAAACCCTGAAACCGTGAGCCAAAATAAATCTTTCCTCCTTTAAGTTGATTTCTCTCAGGTATTTTCATCACAGTGATGAAAAGTTGACTAAAACATCTGAGATATCCTTCTCAAGTAATTTTCCCAAGAAATTGTGTGATTTCATTTGCTAGATTTCAGTGGATACTCAGTTGTACTAAAAATTAATTCCACAACTGCTGAATTTGAGCCAGTGAATGACCCTGGATTTCATGAAGGGAAATATTACTTAGGTACAGGAAAAATGTATTTTTATATGTCTAATATGATTCACTGCAAGTAGAGCCATCTGTGGGCAGAAAAATAGTTTTTTCTTATCATTCTACATTTATACAGTAAATACTGGTGGACATCTCCCCACTTACAGCATGAAATCTGTCATTTACAAGCTTCTGTGACTGCTTCCCCTCCTCACTATCTGCTCTTATTAGAAACAAAGATGCGTGCACCATTCATTTAAAATGATCCCTCATCAGGATAATCAGGGATGCCACTTGGCATGTGTGGCCATGAGAGTTAAGAGGCTATGGTCCGTCCATGAGAGCTGGAGGGGGCACGAACAAGCTAGGACATCTTTGCTTGCACTTGAATAACTATTTTTCTCAAGGCATATAAGGTAACATAAACTTCTGAAAAGCTTAAAACCATTCTACAGAATGAACAAAATTCTGTTACTATAAATGGACTATAAATTGGAGTATGAAGATGTAGTCTACTCACACCAGACTTTCTCTGCTATCAAAAAGATGTGGACACTGAGCACAAAATATTTGCCATAAAAATATAATTCAATACTCAAACCACTGAGATATTTTATAATGAGATTGTACTTTATTATTCAATTTTCCCTCATGGTTTGTCTCTTGGGAACAAAGAAATGAGAAAATCACATTACAAGATTAATTAAAGCCTAAGGTCCAGAAACATAAACTAATCTGTCATAGGTTGAACAGGACTCAGGACTAGAACAAGTTTTCTGACCCCAACAGTTGGGTGACATGGGAGAAGAAACAGAACATAGACATTTCTTTTGAAATAATAAGCCCTGTTGAAAACACAGTAATGCCTTTTCCTAGCCGTGTGGTCTTTAGCAGTTAGTCATTTTTAAAATTCTCTGCAGCCTCATTTTCCTCATTTATATTTTTCTCCTATTCTTTCTTACAGTATTCTAAGTTATTTCCCTATAGCAAAAAATAATGGGCAAGCACAAACAGAGACTAGTGGTGAGATGATTGGAGTCCTTCTGTGTGTCTAGTGGCTCTCTGTTGTAACAGGACAGAGTTCTATTTCCATCATCATCCACTGCCTTTCTCCTCACACTCTGGTGAACATGTCCCTTCCACGCCAAGTGGCAATGCCACCAGCCTTTCAGCCTCAAAGTGAGGGAGAGGGAAAGAAGGAGGGAAGAGGTGCCAACCTACTGGTTAAGGGTCCTTAATTCAATTACTATATGGGGGGGCTGCAATTCCTCATCTATACTTGGGATATGATATGTCCCTGGCAGGTCGTTTTGCGTATCATGTGAAAATACCTGATGCTAAGGAGGATCTCGTGAGAACCTGGGTTCTCCTCCATGCTTCATGAAATGTGAAAGTCCCTGTAACTGAAGTCTTACAGGGAGTACATCCAGCCCTCCCGGCGGCCGGGGGGAGGGTGGAGGAGAGAGTCTCAGACCTTATTCTTACTTAGAGAGTATAAATTCCACACAACTCATTCATACAGTAAAGCCAGGCATCCCCTACAAATTTAACAACAGTTAAGGGTGAGGTTAATTTTTAAGGGGCTTGGAGAAGGAGAAATCAATGTATAATACAATATTTAGTAAATAAGAGTTAATCAACCTCCATTTCAGATTATTGGTCCCTGATAATAAAAAACAAGAGAATTAGAATGTCAGATTTCAGCTCAGCCTTTCCCAAAAACAATTAATTTTGAAATTTGACTGTCCCATATCACTAAAAATGTCTGATTTGTTTCCCTTCTTAAGTCATTTTCACCAAAAGATATAAGAAACTACTTGGCATTTTGCAAGCCCTAAAATGCAGGAGACTAGATGTAAAATGTAAAAACTAGATCTCTGTCTTCCTCCATCACATGCACACCCACAAAACACACGTACACACCACCATGGATGCATGCCCATAAGTACAAAGACACCCACATTCACACACCGCAGCCATCTGCTATGCTGTTCCTCCTCCCACACCCCCACTCTGTGCCCTGACAGCCTGCAGGGTGAGGAAGGGCTGTCTTGTGCTCCAGGGGCTTTCATTCCAGGATAGCTCCAGATTGTCTCAAACAAAAGGACAGGAATATTATGCTCATTAAAAGATGGTTTTTGTCACCTTTTGACAATAAATAGTCTATGGTTAGTGACCAGCCAACAGTCAAAGATCCATCCTGCCTACACTCTGGATAGGGGAATGGATCGTCTCTCCTCCTAGGGTGGTAAAGGTTAGTGCTTCCTCCGTAGATTCAGGTTTCATTAAGATTTACTAGGCAGTTAACATTAGCCACGGAATTAAAACAGATTTAGCAGAGCCTCCAATTCTGCAAAGGTTACCTTTAATTACTTTCTTGGAAGAAATGCTATTTAATATGCAAAATCCAGTAACTTTCTAATAATAATCCCCAGTAGCCACAACATTTGCATTTCAATAAATTTGAGAAATCGGGTATGGCTAAGTTTGAAGAAGTCAACTATAGCATATGTTAAATAGCATAATTATAATTTTAATAGTATAAATGCTAAGACAGATGCCTTCTCTCTAGCTGCATTCTGGTGACAAGGAGATAGATTTGCATATTTTCTTTCTAACCCAGGCAATGGTTTGTGCTACAACTGAAAGAACAGCCCAAATTCTGGCTATCAGCTGTTCTTCTCAATAAAAAGGCAAGTAATCTTTCCTCCTAATTATGTCACCAAATACCTTTGTACAAAAATAAGAATATCTATAATAAATAGCACTTAATGTTTTTAGCCATCAAATGAGCAAATATTCAACTGAATAGTATGTGCAGATGAATGCACTGAGCAGTTAATATTAATCACTCTTGTCTTTGGCCTCAAATTTCAGACTCAAAAAGTGGGTTATTAAAAGAGAGGGATTAAAATTCTGGCATACCACTGTCCTGAAACATGTGACTTGGCTTTTATTTTAAGTGTCTTGGGGCATTTCATTCAGTCATTTCCCCAATGGAACGATAGAGCAGGGTCCCTTCTCCAGGGAGGCCATTCTGCACCCCACTTGGTTTTGCAAGGCCTGAGGACCTGCTTCACAACCTGAATAATACTTCCACTCTTTGAAGAGAGAAATGGTTGGATCTGATTCTTTCTATCTCCAGGATTCTAATAGCATGCCTTGCATATCACAGACCCTCCAATGAACAAAATGAATCGGAACAAAATAAATACTTTTTCAAAATATAGAACTCACTCCACTTTTAATACTGGTGTTAGAAAAAGACACAACAGCCAACCTAGCTGCATGACCATCAGGATTTTTCCTTGACAGGCTGAGTCTGTCTGTCTAATAGTTGAAAGCAAGAGCTGAGGAGTCCACCAGGTCTGGATCCCACCTCACTGCTTCCTATCTGGGCTACCTGGAGAAGAGACTTGGCTTCTCTAAGCCTGTAATATTATTCCATGGGTGAATAATATTACAGAAGATTATGATGATTAAATGAAGCAACAAATGAAAACAGTATAATAATTGTATTCAATAAAGCTGAGATATAATGAGCATTGATGCAGACTTTATGCAGATATTAATTTTGCAATAAAAAACAAGGTCTGATACACAATATAAAATATACATTGTGTTCAATAAGGGATCCAGTAAATGTCCTAAGAACACAACCACCTCCTCTTCAGAACATCTTTGTCTCATAATCACAGATGACAATTAGAAATAAAGATAACCGTATCAAAATAAATCCTGAAGATAATAAATTCTATGTTCTAAAAGTCCTAAGCTGAAAGCTAATGCAGACATTAAATATAATTAAATTTGGAAAGTCATTTTTGTCAAGAAAGAAAGTTGTAACAAACTCTTAAACTTACAAAACACATAGGTACTATGGTGGGAAAAAGAAAAAAAATCACACACTTCATTGCACATGCATGTAGGCAGCTGAATTAAATATTTACTTACACGCACAGACCCCAAGGGAAAAAAATGTCATTTACCTGTACCGGTGTTTGTAACTTATGGATCCAAACTTGCTGAGTTTTCTTGACAATGAATTTGATTCAGTTTCTGGCATTCTAATTAATTTTTGAAAAAGAAAAGCAAAGACTCATTAACAAAGATACCTGTGTAACATTTGAACACAAAGCTATATAGAAAATAAAATAGTACAACTCTATTTAGCAGGTCTAGTCAAAATATCTTACTTATTCTATACATTGAAGGGAATAGTAATCAGTTATTTTAAGATAATTTTTGAAATATAACTATGCCTTATATGTATAGTGTCAAATGTTTACACTTTCTGAAAAGTATCATATACATCATTGCCCTAGGAAGTTTTAGCTATGAATCAACTTACTTTCTCTGCTTAAATTATCTTTAGAATTTTGTCATTATGCTGATTTACTTGAGTTACAGTATTCAAGGCAGTTAATCACATCAATGTAGCGGTCATTTTATTTGTACAATATAGTCCAGTATTTTCCATTTCTTTTCTTTCTTTTTTTTTTTTGGTGGTACTGGGATTTAAACTCAGGGCCTTGCACATGCCAGGCAAGCACCCTATCATTTAAGCCAGCCATTTTTGTCTTATTCTATTTTTCAGATAGGGTCTCTGGCTTTTTGCCCAAGGCTGGCCTCAGATCACAATCCTCTTACCTCTGCCTCCCACCTAGATGAAATGACAGGCAAGCCCCACCATGTCCAGTCCTCATTTCGCAGACTTTCAACAGATACTAGTATGGGAAGCTCCTCAGCCCAGCCTCACTGAACCGAAGAAAAAGCCTTAAGCTTTCTGGGTTACATCCCTCCCCTAATACAAACCACATAAAAGACACCGTTCATTTTATAAGAATACTTCTCCTATACCTGAGAAATTACTCCACGCAAATCAAATAGGAATAAGGAAAAGAATGCAATCTTACTGTAATTAAAAAAAAAAAAAAAACCAAAGCTTAATATATTACCTGCTAAAGTTCTGTTTTATCTTTACAATGTAAGGATGTGAAACAATGAAGAAAGTGTTCCCTTGAGCCAATGATCAATTCTCTATCCTCATCTTACTTGGCCTCCCAGGAACACTGTATATAGTAGGTGGCACCCTATTCCCATTTCCCAGGATGAAGCACCCTTTCCTAGTTGCTCTTTCTCAGGCTTCTTAGCTAACTCTTCCTGTCCTCCAAATAGCTCAGTACTTGCCGTTTTGTTTCTCCCTCTTTATCATTTCCATGGGTGACCTCATCCAGCCTCTTCTGTCTTAAATGCCTACTGAAATTACACCTCACCCATCATCTTTAGAGTCAGCCCTGTTCACCCACTTGCCTTGCCACAATAAATTAAAAGCAAAAATAAATTAAAAGGTAAACACTTCTAAATTTCATTTGCAGACAGAACACAATACTTGTTATAAAAACAAATGCCATTTTCATTTATTAGAACAGCGACATACCTAAAAAACGTGTGATGTTCTACACTGCATTTCCAGAGGTGCTTGCAAGCAGTTTTACTTCGAGCTTCAAAAAAGAATGAGGTTTCATTGCACTGAGAGGAAGGAGAGAGAAAGAATATGAGTTACTGACCGTAACACTCTTTAGATGACTGCCCTCCTTTAGGTAACAGAAATTCAAGTCAACAGGGAGATTATTACCACATAAAATAGAGAAGTAATTACTTATTGGTAACTATCTTTTGAGAATTATATTAAAATCACTTTCCATTAATTAAAATTAAAAAACACGATTTCTACTTATACTATCTACTTCTATATCAACACGTGGCTGAAGATAACCCAGGCAATAACATAAAGCCCTACAAAATCTCTCATCACAAATGGCCCCTGGTACACCAGAAACCCTGACCATGGAATTCAGCGCCCAATAAAAAGGAGATGCCCATAAATCCTTAACTCTTTCAGGCATGTATCGGTCACAGGTAAGCTGATGTCAAAAGGGTTTCAGGAGGAAACACTGGGAGGAGAGACGGACACCACAGTGTGACCTGGGCAAATCAGAGCTGATTCTGAGTTTCTCCATTCTGCATCAAATTACAGGGTAGAATAAATTAAATACTGTGATAGACATCATATAAGAGGCATGTAATAAATCTTAATTATTATTTTAACCTAGTGGCTATTGGATTCTCTTAATAGATTTCATACATAAGAAACTAAGGATACATTAAAGTGAATTCTAATTTTGCAGAAGATACTATTTTTAAGTGACTTAATAGAAAACCAAACAAACCACAATATGAGTGCTATAATAATAAACCACAACCTCTGTGAAGTTACATAATTGCTAATTTAGTTTCAAATTTAAAAACCAAACTCAAGTCTCAAACACAGCAATTCTTGTGGAATGAGGTTCCTCTAGACTCATAAACACAAAATTGCCAGTGAAGAGGAATCACTGAAATGATTTGTCCTCTACTTTTAACAAGGAAAGAACATTTATATGCACGAAATTCCTCCCAAGTCCAACTGGAATGACACTGCCTAATTTAGGAGTTTATTTGTAAAATGAAGGGATGGGATGCAAAGTCAACATATTCCTATCACAGCTAAACCAGCTATAATTCCAAAATCTTATAAGGTGGAGGAAGAAATTTAGAATGATTCTTTGGCTTTTGGCTTGGGAACTACTGCTAAAATAGAGCAAATGGAAAAACTGGAGCTTGGTGGCCAAGAGAATGGACATTAAGTTCAGGCTGAGAAGTGTGTTGAGGTGACCATGGAATGGCACGTGGGCCGGTGAGCGTGCAGGGGCACAGCTCAGAAGAGAGGTCATGTCTACTGACAAAGGCGACGTCACCTGAGAGTAAACAAGGTAGCTCAGGAAGAGAATGCATCACGTTAATGGGGACTACAGCAAAGATGCTTGTGAAGGTGGCGGGAAGGGGTCAAGAGAACCGGGAGACAATGGTGTCAGAGGGTTGGGAAGAGAGAGCACAAGCTCCAGGGACCCGGAAAGGTCAACCTGGGATTAAAAGGTTACTGTATTTCATGGTGTGAAATAGTTGGTGACTTTTACCAAAGCAGTAGGGACATCCAGAATAGAGAAGAAGAAAGAAAGTCAACGAATTCAGAAAGTGTTTTTATCAATAGCAAAAGAAACTGAGGGTACAGGAGAAAGGACTGGGAAGGCGAGAGGCAGAGGAAGGAAATCACTGAAGTTTCCTGGGGGCCGCATGGGAAAGCCAAGGCTCCTGTCAGGAGATGGGAGTGTTCAGAGAAGAATCTCTTCTATCTTTCAGTCTTCTTTTTCAAAAATACATAAAATAAACACAGTAAAAAAGCTTAACTTATGAGTTACTGAAGTGCGTACACACAAGCCAACTCAATCTCCCTTCTATCAATGTCCTCGTTCCCTTCCCCAGAGTCTACCACATCTTCTATTGTAAGGGTGAGTGTTTTTGAGGGCACTGGATTATTCTAAAATATATTACAAGGGTCATTCACCTAAAAATTAGTCTGCCTGTGATGGCATTTATCAGGATAAATTGTCAAGGTAAAGGGAGAACCAGGACAAGCTACTTCTTTCCTCACCACCACTTCCTCAGACTCAGGACCATCACCCTGTACCTCTCAGCAATCGAAGCACAGGTGGCAGGACATACTGGGCCTTATTATCTACAAGAAAATGGTGGCCAAGGACAACCTGTCTGTGACACAAAGACTTTCACATTTCAGCAAAAGCATCCATGAATACAGTGTAACTTAAGTAACTAAATTGACTTTTCAAAAACTTATTTAATTACATATGATTCAAAGTGACAAAAGTAGAGGAGAAATTAAAAAGTTTTCAGTCTTAAAAAAAAAAATAACATACATCTCCAAATCTCAAGCTCTTGATGGACTGGTTTTCATATAAATGTAGAAACGTGGCTACAAAATATCCAATTCTTAATATATATTTTTAAACTACTATCACTTAATAAAAGGATGAAAGGCATTTCAAATTCAACCAGAACTGGGTTTTTCTGTTTCCTTGGGCACAAACATTAGAAAGGAACTAAAGACCCTCCCACAGGCCTCATAATTACTTCTGCCATGAATGCAAGTAGTAACTCATTCTCCATTTGCAGAGTGTTTGAGACAAGCTGCCTATCCAAATACCAAAAGGATGGTTAACAGAACTAAAATCAGAGCCAGGTATTCTGAATAAATGCTGTGTACTTTTGCCACATACACTAATTGCTGGCATGAATGAACTGGGCATGGCATTTCAAATGTCTCTTTCTACCACCTTCCAACTTACTAAGCCTTTTCCAAATAGACAAGGCCATTTGCACAGTTCCCCTAATTCTTACAAAGATGCACTGCTGCTTAAGTGAGTTAGTTTATGATGAGCAATTGCTAAAACGCCTTAACTGCCTTATCCAGGTATTGAAGGTCTGCTTTTTGCACATTTCTCGATCGTCTTTATAGTTTTGGTCATTTCATGCTAGAAGCAAAGCTATTGTCTGATTCTAATTTTTATTTCATCAACTAATCAAGCTTAATTCACTTGTAATTCAGATACCATGTGGATATCATTGACCCATGGGTCTCTATGTAAACTTGGATCAAACCCTGGATTCCATCATTTGTAAGAAATCAGGACCTGTGTCATACTTGCAAATCCCAAGGTAGGTAGCTCCCTCTGGTCTTTCCAGTCTCTTTACCCATCTCTGCTGACTGTATCTCTCTTAACAGGCTTCGCTCTTGCTTAGCCTCTCCTACATGTATGGATAATAATAACAGCACCACTGACAGGTCTATTCTGTGAGCAGCTATATAAACCAGGCAGCCCCTCATTCTCCCTGAGCCCACTCCAGCTTCACTGCCTCTCACAAGCCTGTATTCCTGACACAAGACCCTCTTTGCCACACATACTCCTGTATTCTTTCTGGTTTTTCCCTGTTTCTGTTTTGGGAAGTGATCACAACTGGATAATCTGACTTCCCCAGTCTCCCCAGAATTATGGGATAAACACCTTCTCAATCCTATTATTATATACTTGTCCAAGGTTAGTAGAAGTAACCCGTGGTATACACTGCATGGATCATTAAATAATAAAAGGGAACAAGATGCAGTGGTGCACACCCATAATCCAAGCTACTCAAAAGGCAAAGATTGGAAGGATTTCAGTTCAAGGCCAGCCCTGGCACAATGTTAGTAAAACCCCTCTCAACCAACAAGCCAGCATGGTAGTCCTATACTCCCAGCTATACTGCAGGCACAGGTCTGAGGTCAGCCCCAGGCAAAAGCAGCAAGACCCTACTGGATGAAGGGAAGAACAAAAGAGATTAGTACTTCTAAGAATAGCAAGATGCAGTCATTACATAAATAACTTGAAGATCTAGAGCAGAGAGTTTTCCTATCAACATTCCATTGAGGTGGGGGAGAGGTTAACAAGACATGTGAAGCCCAAAGTACTATGGAATTTTTGCCTTTTTTTCACATTCAAAGTACACATGATTTATAGATTTACTTTGTACTCATTAACTTACTTTAGGCCTGAGGGAAAAACATGAGGTCAGAGGCCTGATAACAAATGACTAAGACAACTTTCTTCTTAATTACTGCAAAGTTCAGAAAGGCAAGCAGTGAGACTTAATAAAAAATGTACTCTTCAATGGGAAATAAGAAAGAGACAGTAGAAAATTTTAAGTGTCTTGTGAAATTTTTTCTTTCTAAATGGTGAGATTGAATGATTGCAGTTTTACAGTTTGGACTATACCAGTACATGTGATATACTTGAGCAAGATGTGTTAATGGCTTTCCTCAGAGTTCTCATTTTTCTCTCCTCTAGGCATTCCAAGATCAAATGTGGCTAACAAATTCAGTGTGCCCTCAGCAACAGCAACAAAATGACCAGCTTTGTCATTACTTGGAAAGGTAAGTTGGAAGGAGACTTTAAAACACTGACTTGCATGCTATTCTTGCAAGCCTTGTCTTTACAATGCTCCCAAAAGAAAGGCTCTCACAACAATGGTCTCTTGTGCTGTTAGCATAGGAATGTTATATGATCAAATAAGTATGTGGAATATTGGGTTAAATATACCTTTTTTTGTCCTGACCATGTTTTATTTCTCCTTTTTCTCCAAAGAAGATAACCAAAGATATAGACAGGATTCAGCAAAATAAAACAGATGAAACAAACTCTGACTGTGATGCTATGTGCTACATTCAACCTAATTTTACTCATGTTTGCCTTGGGATGGGAAGAGAACATTCAATAAAAACAAAAACTGTCTTATCATGGACAACTTTTAAATTGCAATAATGATACACCTTAATTACTTCCAGGCACACAAGTCTAACATTACAGGTTTTTTTTTAAAAAAATAAGCACAATTAAGACTTTTAGGAGCATATCATAATAATTCCTAATTTTCCTTTGTACATAGATCCAGCACCTCAAAATACAAAGTCCTGTACACAGTGATTACTTTACTTAAAATGAACATGGGAGTAAGTTACATATGTGGACAGTCGCCTTAAGACAAGCTGACATTATATATTCAGTTGGGTAGGCAGCACTCTATAGTGCCAAACAGAA